TCCTCTTCAACTCCTAGAATGCATTCTCACACGAATCATTCCACACAAACTTGACCTATTTCCAGGTTAACTTCGTCATAGGCGCAACCAATCAGGAGAAATCCTCAATAAACCGTCGGTAGTACCCTGCCAATCCCAAGAAATTATGTATCTCGAAGACTGACTTTGGTCTCTCCCAATTCATAACTACCTCAACCTTCTCCAGGTCCATAGATACACCCGAAACTGACACTACATGCCCAAAAAATTTCACCTCAGTAAGCCAGAATTCACACTTGTTAAACTTGGCGTACAATTGATAATCTCTTAATGTCTGGAAAACAATTCTCAAATAACCCTCATGCTCCTCCTCAGACTTGGAATAGATCAAGGTGTCATCAAGAAAGACTACGACAAACTGATCTAAATAGGGTTGGAATATCCTATGCATGAGATCCATAAATGCTGCTGATTCGTCAACCCAAATGGCATCACTGTGAACTCAAAATGCCCATACAACATTCTGAACGCCGTCTTAGGGATGTCTACCTTCTTAACCCTCAACTGATGGTAACCGATACAGAGATCTATCTTGGAGTAGACCCGCGCCCCTCTTAACTGATCAAACAAGTCATCAATCCTCAGCAAAAGGTACTTATTCTTGATAGTAACCCTATTCAACTACCGATAGTCTATGCACAATTGCAGGATTTTATCCTTCTTCTTGGCAAACAACACCGGAGCGCCCCAAGGTGAATTGCTCGGTCTAATGAAGCCCTTGTCCAATAATTCTTGCAACTAGACCATGAGTTCTTGCAACTCAACTGGTGCCATCCTATATAGAGTCATAGAGATAGGCGATGTACCGGGATACAACTCAATGGTGAAGTCTACATCCCTATGTGGAGGTAATCCCGGTAGCTCAGCCAAAAAAATATCCTGATACTCACATACAACCCGAGGAAGGCCCAACTCCTATCTCGCCTTGTCCTCTAGGGTAAGGCTTGTAAGCCAACCCATCAACTGTCCATGCCATCTAGAGTGGTACATGGCCTGAGGTAAAACATCACGCTTTTCCCCCTAGAACTTGAAACAAATACCCTCCGGCGTATAAGTAGTGACCCCTTTTTCGATCACAATCAATGACTACCCGATGTACTTCCAACCAATTCATACCAAGGATCATATCAAACTCCGACATGTTTGTGACCCTAAGGTCCACGGTGAGTAGAATCCCCGAGATCTCTAACTCACAACCCCGACATATCTGATCAATTCTCACCTTAGCTCCTAGGGGCGAACTCACATGCAATGGCTCTTCCAATGTCTCAACCTCTAAGCCCAAGTCTGTCACACAAGATGCAGTAATAAATGAATGCGATGCACTAGAATCAAATAATACCCTTACCCATATGCGAGAGAGTAGAAATGTACCATGTATCACCAACAAATCTGCCGGCTCAATCTGAGGTATCATGGCGTAGACACGCCCCTGGGTTCCCGAAGTATAGGCTTGTAAGCCCTGGCCTCGGCATCTACCCATGCCCTGGCCCATCTGGCCTAATTATGGAATCCCTGCACGCTAAGTAGTTTGGGCCTGAGTAGCATTTTGGAATTGGTACTGGTTCCCCTAGCCTATGGTAGGGTAATGATTAGTATAATGTGTCAGTGGCTGCCCCACCCAAGTCTGGGACTGAGATGACCCATAACTTTGGGATCCTTGCCTTTAAGGATAATTCTGCTTCATGTGACCCGGTTGGTGGCAATGATAACAAGTCATCTGGCATGCCTAGTAGGAAGGCCTCTGATTTCTCCCACCTTGGGAGGATTGACCTTGGCCTTGGCCTTGAAAGCTAGGACCCTATCCCTGAAACCCTTGTGGAGTAGAAGTCCTCTACTTCTTCCTCGAGCTAGAAGAAGATGATTGGTCCTTCTTCTTCTTGTCTTTTGCACCAGACTCCTGGATGCTCCTTGCGTCATCCACCTCTCTCTCAATGGCCATAGCAGTCTTGACCATCGAGTCTAAGTCTTGTAGAAGAAGACCCATAATTTTACCCCGGATGGACAACTTAAGACCATCTTCAAACTTCCTCACTTTGGCCATATCTGTGGCCACGTAGTCATTGGTGAAACTGGCTAACTCTATGAACGTAGCCACGTACTTCATCCCCGTCATTGTCCCTTGTCTCAAGTCTAAGAACTCTCGAGCCTTTGTGTGTCGAGCAGCCATTGGGAAGTACTTGCCCATAAAGAGCTCCTTAAATTCTGCTAGTGTCATTACCTTCAAGTTCTTGGAGTCCTTGACCTAATCCCACCAAACTTGGGATTCTCCCTCTAGCTGAAAAGTAGCTAGCATTATCTACGTGACATCAGAGGTAATCTCTATAGCCCTCAAGATCTTTCACTTGTCGGAACCAATGGTCAGCCACTATAGGACCCACCCCTCCCAAAAAGATTAGAGGATTATGTGCCTTGAACTTTTGGAGATGACTTGAACCTCCTTGACTCCCACTTGCACCTGTCTGTGCAATAGTAGCGGCCGTAGCACTAGCTTGTGCAATGGTAGCAACCGCCGCACCAATAGCCTCCATGAAGGCTTGTTGGTTAAAGGCCGGTGGTGGTGGTTGGTTGTTCCATCCACCCCGACATCCCCTTCCTCTAGTTGCCATCTACACACACATAAGATAACAATAGATCAATTAGTTAATATCCCAAGTTAGGGATCAAGTATTTAGTAGACATTTACTCATTGAACTATACTATTCATCCCTTTTTTCCAAACTCCCAAGGTGATGTTTCTAACCCCAGTGTATACATTTCTATCATGTATATAATTCACATAACAAGTAACACATAGCATGTAGTAGGTAGTGCACATAACATGAAATGCATTTGGAATGCAATTGTCTATACCCCGTGCCCATCTAGTCCTAAGTTATTCGTATGCCTATGCTCTGATACTAAACTGTGACACCCCAAAATCCGGGGGTCCGTTGATTACCCATCAACCCGTGGAATACCCGTGGATACCGAATAACTCGATATCTCAATGTTGTGCCCCATTTACCGGGGTCCATCCTTTATTAAAAATTTGGGCAGAGTCTCCTTTGTAAGGAGAACTCTTCTCAAAACACAACCTGTGCATTATATAATAACAAGACTCATCCAAGGTCCAATATTCAACAATGACTACACCGGGTCCAATTATCCACACTCATACAAACATGCAAGACTATATTAAAACTGTCCATATAGACTCTATTACAATTCCTTTACACATTACATGCCAAATTTTAATTACAAGTCTAATTTTACAAAAGAAATGGATTGGAAGCCACAAGTCGGCTTTTCTTCCTCCTTAAGTGCCCGAGTCAGTGTCGTCCCTCGGCGTATGACCCATACCTAAAATGTTTCCCGTATAGGGTGAGCCAACGCCAAGTAGAGTATATCTTACAAGGGCTACTCCCCACCCAAGTGCACATGCAATGTTCACATTTGACAGTTCATATTCACATCAACATTTCAAGTAAGAATATGCAACTCTATATTGCCATGCGATGAAATGAGATGAAACTCACTCATGCAACTTGAACTCGAGTCCCCACCGACTCCCACAACACAATGCAACGCATATGTGTAAAACAACGTCTTTGATGAAACACATCCAAAGATAATTTTGAAATCAACCATATGTCATAAAACATAGTATTCAAGCTTTGTATGCAATGTTCCACACTCATCACACCCCCAACTTGAGCTTTTCTAGTCCCTAGAAAACATTATTTCAAAACTATATATTGTGCGTATAAAAATATCATTTATGTTAGATAATTCATGGACCAACAAAATACTCAAATCAAATTACAATTATGTAAATGAAATTGAGGCACCATGAAACACAAAGTGCAATTCTTTCATTTATAGAAATTTGCAAAAAATACATAGAACTCAAGACAAAATTGACCTGCTATTCTAGGAACTCTTTTACCAGGCTAGAGATTCTTACACTACTATCCCAATATATACAACCCAAAAAAAAAAAGATTAGACTCTCTCTAATCATCATCATCCTGTGAGTCATCAGACTTACCTGCCTCTACAATAGTCGAGCCAGCGAGGGCAGCCGCCCAGAGGTCAGCATTAGTCTTTGGAACAAATGATGGGAACATTGGTGTGGTGAACAGTGGTGGCATCTCGGGGAGAGGCTCTACTGGGAAAGTCTTCTCAAAGATCTTGGTGACCATTAGTTTTAGTAGTTGCATAGTCCCATCGAAGTCATCCAACCTCCCCTTAATCCCAGCGAGATGCTAAGAGACTGTTAGAGGTGGAGCAGCAGTAGATGGCCTGGCTTTGGATGGCTTAGTAGTGGATTCCTCGGTCATAGATATCCAATATGCCCTTTCCTTCATCTGTCTAGGCCCTACAGTCATAGTTGTCATCTTCATGCTGCTTGGCTTGCCTATAATGCCGAACTCAGGCGGGACTGTCAAATCAATCGGGATGCCCTTGACCTTGTTCTATTGGCAAATCTTGGTGACAAGGTGGGCACAAGGCAGGTTTGCCCATGGCTTGATGACCTAGGTGTAGCCCTTCATCACCTCCTAGATCATCAAGGCAAAGTCCATCTTGGTGTCATCCATAAACTTATAGAGGAGAGTCATTTTATTCTCCCCCGGTGTCTTCTCCTCTCCTCGAGGCAAAACATTATGGTGGATGACTTTATTCATCACCGCATAAGAATGCTTGAGTTCATCGACTTGAATTTTGCCTTTGAACTATGAAGGGTACTCATACATCAAGCTCGCACATTCTTGGAGTGATTTTCCTCCATGGGTGTTCTAGGGAAAGAGGGGGTTGTTGGCTAGAGGCCTCTGATTCTCCAATGTCGTGGCAATGACTACCGGAGTGACCTCGATCATTTTTCCCCTCACATTCGTCCTTAGCAAACATAAGTCCTCATCCACTATAGCCAATCTTTGATAAAACTCCCAACAGTAAGGGAGCGCATACCTGCTCACTACCTAGAACATAAAATGTAACCCATGGCCCTCAATTTCCCAGACCACGTCATTGTGTTGCCCGAGGGGGGGCCTATCTACTTGCCACTTACACGTCACCTTCTTGGCTTTAACGTTCTCCGTGTAAGGGTCATTCCAATTTTTCTTCCTTTGTTCCCCATCACTAAGGATTGTCTCCTCCACCCTTATGTAGGATCCGATTCCCACTTGTGGTGATTGAAAAGGGCCTGTTTGTCAAAATAAAAAATGCCCCTAAGGTGAAGAACAGTAATACCTAACTCAAAAATATCAAAAGATAAAGGTAGAGACTTACCCATTCTAGCCATTGTTCCAAAATCCAAGGCTAGAGTGAAAATCATGACTTTTGATGGAGTTGGTGACATTTTATGGAGAAATGAGGGTTTTGGGGGGTTTTGATAGAAAAGAGTTAGGGATGTGAAAGGAAATCAAGGGGAATCAAAGCTTGAGGGAGAAAATTGATGGAGACGAAGGATGCCTAAGATTTCCTTGAATGTTTGGTGGGTTTTGAGAGAGGATAGTGTTTTTGAAAGGGAAATCAATGAGGGAGATGAAGGTTCAAAAAAATTGGGTTGAAAACCCTCGTGTTTTAGATTCTAGGCACGAGCTACCGGTTACTCGTGAGTTTGCTACTGTAGCTGACCCTTCTGAAAAAATTCTACTAGTAGGTCATGCTTCTTCTACTGGTAGCTGACCATTATATTGTTCTAGCCATTCAGCCACGAGCTACTAGTAGCTCGTGAGGCTTCTACTAGTAGTTGCTCATTTCTGCAAAAAATTCCTATTTTCTCATTCTCACTCCCACTCCAAGTTTATTCAAATCCAAAACATTCTAATAACCTATTTCCTAACTTAACTACCCAAAGACAGGATCCATACTAGTGAATCACATTGTATGACTATGCCCAAATTCATTTACATATTTGCGATGCGATTTGAGTCTTGATGCTTTCAAAACACATGATGTAGAAGTCTAAATTCAAAAAAATAAACACCTAACAAATAAACCACAAACAAGAGTAAAAAGGGTATTGTCTTTCTTCCTTTCCCATATCTAAAATTTGAACAATATTCTCCTATCCTACTAGCTCTTGCTTGCCAGACACAACTTTCCAAACACCTGAACCAATCACACATGGGTTTCACCATAGTTTTAAATGCTAATCTAGAGTATACACCTACAAATTTTCTTTCAAACTTGTGTGTGAAATGAATACGCAAATTAAACATTTACTCAACAGAATCCACATTCGTTTAGCTATCAAAATTCAGCTTTAATGCAATTCTAACCACGAGTTTCTCTAAAAAAAAATTACTCTATGATTATCTGAGATAGAATCTTGTGTACAAACCAAAATATACTCATATATAATCTGAAAATGACGTGCATGCATAACAATTGAAGCGATATTGGTACATGAACAAAATGTTAGGGCAGTACATAGCAAGACCAACTTTTCTTTCCATTTAAAAATGTGTTCTCACCATGATTTCTCCAGACCAATTAGGGCATTCATGGGTTATAATGAGTCCTTGGGGTGATAATTGGGCTGAATGAAATGAAGGGTAGAGGGAGACAAAAAGGGTTATTCTGAGGACATGACCTTATTATCAAAAATTTTCTTTTTGTGAAATTTTTAGGTTTACACCTTCACGTCAACTTTCTGTCTCTACTTTTTTTTTTCTCAACATTTTTCTTCTATTTTTTCTTTTCTTTTTCAACCCACTTTTTCTCCTTTTTCTTGGCTTTCTCTCTTCTTTTTCTTTCAATACCATTCATCCCTCTTTGGGTTTCCTTACCAAATTTTCCTTCTTCATGATTAATCGCAGTCAGTCTCAAAAACACCAAGGTGTGAAAATTATAATCATTTTGCACTAACTCAATAAAACATGTGGCATGGAAACAAATTTCAATTAAGGCTCAATCACGGCACAAGGGATAAATTTTTCACAAAAAAAGGCTAGGCTCAATGCAATTCAAAGATTGCCTAAGATCATCTCTATATAAGCATGGAGAGGCATCTTGACATTTTAAGACAATGTCAATCAACTATCCATATGCACTCTAAGAAAATCAAGCATAAAGAGATTATTGAATAGATTTTGAATTTGAAAATTTGTTCCATTTAGTAAATGTAAGTTCCGTCCAATAAGAATTGGAACTAAAGCTCGCATTGGTACTTACTTCATCTCCACTATCTGTGTCAAGTTCTAAAATGTGGATCCAATTAGTAAATTTCCGAATTTGCACATTCAAGTTGCACTATGGTTGTGTTCGAATGAAAATACGTATGTAATACTCAGGCATAGGATAAACTTTTGTGGTGTACTTATATGTTCAAAGTTCAAAATGAAGATCAAGGAATCATAGATCCCATAAAAAATTGAATAGGAGAATATGGTTCACCATTCATATATGTTTCACAAAAAATATAAAACTTTTTAAAATTTTCCACATATTTTCAACTATTCTAAACAAAAATTGGTGTATCATAGAAATGGTGCACCTCACCTCCCAACTTGAACTACACATTTTCCTTAATGGAACAAAAAGACATGCAATAAGATGATGTAATTTAAAAGACAAAAAGGGTAAGATAACACCTAGCAATGAGCTTTAACAAAAACACCACTATCTGAACACATAAAGAAAGAACACTATTTATAGATGAAATTAAGAAAACAATTTAACTTGTAAGTAAATGACAAATGAAAACAACCATACACTAATATCTACTTGAACAGTTATGCTTCAACAATATCCTAATAGACCGGATCTACCAACTCCTCCTTCATTCCTGGAATTTCAAAACCCTCAAAGAATGGTTTAAGTCATTGTCCATTGATCTTGAATGTTTTACCATCTTTGGGGTTTTCTATGACCACGACTCCATGTGGGTGGGCCATCTTGAAAATGTAGGGGCTGTCCCATTTCGATCAAATTTTTCCTTAGAAAATGGAGAAGGGAGAATTATACAAGAGCACTTTTTGGCTAGGCTTGAATGTTTTTCTCAATATAGATTTGTCATGGAAAATTTTGGCCGTCCCTTTGAATTTTAGAGCTCTCATAAGCATCTCTATGGATTTGCTCCAATTCAATTTACTCTAACTTCTTATGTTCCCCATCTAGCCTTAGGTTAAAATTCAAGGTTTTTATGGCCCAATATGCCTTGTGCTCCATCTCCATTGGCAAGTGACAAGCCTTGCCATAGACTAGCCGATAGGGAGACATACCAAGGATAGTCTTATAAGTAGCGTGGTAAGCCCACAAGACATCGGTCAACTTGAGAGATAATTCCTTTGGATTCGGGTTAACTGTTTTCTCTACTATGCTCTTTATCTCCCTATTGGCCAACTCGACTTGGCCATTAGTCTATGGATGATAAGCGGTGGACACCTTGTGTGTTATGTCATATTTATGCATCAACAAAGCAAATGGTTTATTAAAAAAAGTGAGCCACCATCACTTATCATCGCATGAGGCATCCCAAACCTAGAAAAGATGTTTTTCTTTAAAAACCTGACCAAGACTCAGTTGTCATTGGTCTTGGTTGGGATTGCATCTACCTGCTTGGACATGTAGTCCATTTCCAAAAGGATATAAAGGTAGCCAAAATTTCATAGGGAATGGACCCATGAAATCGATGCCTCAATAATCAAAAATTTTAATGACAAGCATAAGAGAGAATGTCATCATGTTTCTTTGGGTCACACTTTCCAATCTTTGGCATCTATAACATTGCCTAAAAAATGAGACACAATCTTTAATCAGTGTAGGCCAATAAAAACCACTTTATAAAATCTATGCTAAAGTCTTCTTGGAAGAGAAGTGCCACCACACGCTTTAGAATGACATAAAGAAAGGATATTCCACTATTCATTTTTTGGTACACACTTCCTCATGACTTGATCAGGGCAATATTTGACAAGTATAGGTTGTTGAAGTAGAAGTACTTTAAATCTGCCATGAATCTTCTCTTATCTTCTGGGCTCCAATGTGGGGGAATTTTTCATGTGGCAAGAAAATTACAAATGTCTACATATCACGGACAAACTTAATGGATAGAAAATGGATGCTCATTAGGAAAAGAATCAGGGATATGGATTTTTTCTGCGGCGTCTTAGACAACAAGTTGTGACAATCACCACCACATTCGCAATTCCTTTTTTATCCTTGATGATTATGTTTAATTCTTGATGGAGGAGAATTCACCAAATGAGCCTCGATTTAGTGTCCAGCTTAGACAAAAAACACTTCAAAGTATAGTCATCAGTGTAGACTACAATAGGTGAACCAATAATGTATGACCTAAATTGATCCAATGCAAACACTATGGCTAGCAACTCTTTTTCAGTAGTGGTGTAATTCATTTGTGCTTCATTTAGAGTTTTACTAGCATAATATATTATATGTGGCCTTTTATCTTCCCTTTGACCTAGCACTGTGCCGATTGTGTAATCACTCGCGTCGCACATGAGCTCAAATGAGAGTTCCCACTTGGGTGGTCACATGATTGGAGGAGAGGCAAACATACTATTAAGTTTTTTGAAAGATGCCTCATAATCATCTGACCACACGAATGGGACATCCTTTGCTAACAGATTCATCAAAGGTCTTGACAATACACTAAAATCCTTTAATGAAATGGCAAAAAAAACCTGCATGATCAAGAAACGACCTGATGTCCTTGATGATTAGCACAAAATATTGCACATCATGTATACAATTATACCCCATTTATACTCGCGGTTGCAATGAAAATGAGAGCAAATGCGATAAATCAAGCAATTAATGAGTTTTTGGGTGATTGTAGGTAAAGAGTTGGAAATGGCAAAAGTTAAGCCCTCATTGTTGTGCTCAAAGTCAATGGAGATGAAGGGGAGTCTTAACAGGGTAGCTTGGAAGGCGAAAAGATCAAGAAAGCAGCAAAAAAAGTAAAACCTACCGGCAAGTTAGCTCATAAAACTAACAGTAGGTTTTTAACACTGGATTTCAACCTACCACAAACCTTCTGGAAGGTTTTTCTCATCGGAGTAAAACCTACTGGTAGGTTTGGCCATCGACCTATCGATAGGTTTTGCTGAAAATGCTAGATTCTATAACTCATCTTTCACTTGATTGGGGGGCCCACCATTGCTTCTCTCACACATCCCTTGACATTTTATACATATAACCATGCCTACAAGACCCTAGCTTCTAAATTTTGAG